TGATGCTCTCTTCTCTTAATGACAGACAAGCGCTGCCTGCGTGTGACATGAGCAGAGTGCAGACGAGCAGTCTGTGCCTCTAAGCCATCCAGGTTGCAGAGCTGAAAAGAGCAGGATTCCAAAAGTACCAATTACCTTTATTTTCTTGAATCAGCACGTACCTCCGCCAGCTGCACGGATGTGCCTGACAGTCATGCCGAAGCGCTGTGTATGCATTACGGCCATACAGCCAGCAGCTGTTTGCCCATACAGGCTAATCATAATAATATCACTAATTAACAGAACACGGTGCAAGGAGCTCCACTGTTCCTCCTTAAATCTTAGGCTCCTCGGTAATTAAAAAATTGTCAACCTTGAGTTAAAGATCCAAAAAGCTGATGGCCGTGTCTTCTGAAAACTGAGGTGTTAAATACTGGCCGCATATGAATATCAAGTCACTACTACTGTTATTCTTCCCATTTTTGCCACCGTCTGCACAACTTTGGAAATGTACCTTGAAGTCTTTCTGTGCTTATAAAGGAAAGCTGAAGAATCTACACACAATGCTGATCACAGAAGGCAAAGCTGAAAGTTGAAAACATAGGTTTGAACAGCAGATTTAACTTTTTTGCAAGGGGGGGGAGGGAATCTTAGATATATCCGAATCCCAAACTAAATGTTTTTGTTACACTAATCTAGCAGCATCCATCAAATATTCACTGTATGATTTTGTCTGGAGTGGCTGAGATATTAAACAAAGCTTTGCAAGGTTTGTACTAGTGCAGCTTACAGAATTAACTATGTTACCCGACTCTGTGTAGACGTAATGCAAACAGGAGAAAAACTCAGACACACAGGTTTGGCTCAGAGTTCATTCGTAACTACCACTCACTCTATGCTTATATCAATATTTACTACAAGATAATTCACTTGAAAACCTGGATGGATTACACTCTGTCTCCTGGTGAGTCAATGAAAATTCTTTCTACAGGCTGCTCTTCAGTAAAACCACAACAGCATGAAAACGCTTTTTACCTTCTGGGAAGTTTGCGGTCTCTTTTGAGTTTACAGTTATCTAAGAGCTGATGATGTAAATGATCTCCTCACTACCTCTCTGCAGACAAGATAATACTCTTATGGTACTTATGTACATTTTCATTGTTACTATCATTGCTTTGGAGGCTTAGTCTATAGCCTGAGAACTGGTGAAACTGTATCAGAGTAACGCTGGCATGAAAAAGGAGTATCAGAGGTTCGCTTCACAGAGTTGTGAAAGTTTCACGCTCCAGTTAAGTAGAGTTTGGCTTCTGAAGCCTAAGAAAGCTTTCTGACCAAGAAACAGCTCCTGCGCAGCCCACCGAGGCAACCGTCCCTGCCTCTCTAAACCCAGGACACCAGGGGCTGACCGTCCTCTCTTCTAGACAGCAACCAAAATACAAAATGCACATGAAAATTCTGGTCTGAACTGAAACACAGAGAAATGGCACTCTGCAGAACCGTGCTGTCAAATGAATTCTCCCCTCCCTGCAGCCCTCTTAGGGCTGATTATGAAAATAAGTACTAAAACCAAAAGAACAGTATTCATACTACTAACTTTCTTAAAATCCAATTCAAACTCAATTGTAACAACAAAAAAAGCAGACTGGGTTGCCTATCTATCTCCAAAGAACTCAGTTTGATTTTGCAAATGCAAAACAATAACTGGACTTGAAGCCAGGAAAAAAAAAAAAAGGCTTGGTTTTTTAGTTTTTTTTGCTGTTGGGTTTTTAACAGCCAGGTAGCAAATGTTTTTATCAACCAGACGTTGAGCATAATTCTTTTTTGCATTGGCATTATCGTGCCTTGTACAGATTCCCCTTCCGAGACACTTGTGGCTGCTCCGTGGCACGGTGGGAAATCTCAGGGCGCCGAGCCCTGAGCTCACGCTGCGGCGCAGGACTGACCATGCCACTGGAACGGAGCAGAATCAACACTGCTGCTGGCGATGCGCAAAAGGGAATGCAGTCGAGCTCATTCCACTTAACTGTAGTTCTGCAAGACTAACAAGAGCGTAAGCTATATTTTTGTCCATAAGGTGGGCACATACAATGCTGAATCAACACAGGAAAGAAATCTGTTGAACAGGACCTTTTTTGTTGCTGTTGTTATTTTATGGTGACACCTTTGGAGAACCAAAAGAGAGAAAAGCATAGAAAACATGAGGGAAATGCTTTCTCAAAATGTAAACGTTTCTTTTCGTATTTTAGAAAAAATAGTAAAACCCCATTTCTGAGGAACATGCTGGTAAAAGGTGTGATTTATCAAGACTGACAGTCTGCCCTTCTGATGCTTTTACTCCTAATCTGCAAGCTCCTGAATTTGCTGCCAGTCAGGTGTCATTCATTTTTCGTTCTAGTACCAAAAAATCTTTGCTGAGACTGTATACTAGGCTGGTGGCAGCTACAGGAGTATTCCAAGGGGACAGCTTGTGTGCCAGCTCGTCTAAGTAATCTAAGTTGCTGAATTAAGCATAATACAGCTGAGGCTGCCAGATATGGCCAATATCTGATGCTCCATGGGAAAGTGAACATCACTGCGATGCTCAGTTGTGCAGTGCTGCTCTCCAGCTGGGTCTCAGTCCACATATCCATTACTTAGGGGCTAACATAGCTGCATACCATACTCCTATATGGTATCCATAGAATCATAGAATCATTCAGGTTGGAAAAGGCCCTTAAGACTATTAACCATTAACCTAACACTGCCAAGTCCACCACTAAGCCACGTCCCTAAGTGCCACGTCTGCACGATCCATAAATAATATTTACCGTAGATAATCAATATTATATCTGATTAATGATATCTAAAGTTTAAATCCATCCAATTCTTGAACAAGGAACCAGGGTTTAATTGCAAAATGCCAAGAAAAAAAAATTCCCTCTGCACTTTTCCTTTCATTCAAGTCTGGACATCACAAGACTTTCAGCAAACCGGCTTCTTGAATACTGCCAGCTCAGCAGGTAAACAGCTTTATGGCCATGCAAGCTGTAGTTGTGCTTTCATCATATTAAAATATGCAAACAGTATTGACATCGTTATTTCCTTTGGATGAATGTGATGGAAGCAAGAATTCCTGAGAAAAAATAGTTGCAAAAATTATTTTGTGAAAATGATCAGTACACCAATAATTGCATATCATCACTTTCCCAAATTATCACGGCTCATCTCACTAGCTCATTGAGGAGCTGGGAAAATCCACGAAAAATGGTAAAGTAGGCCCATCCTGCTCCCTCTACAGATACATTTTAGTGTATCCAAATCTGGTTCTAACATCAGTTCTTTCATCTTGGAGCACATATACTGTAGACTGGGCTGTGCCATTTTTGCCATATGATTTCTGCAAAATATGAATATTTTAGGAATTTTAAGAAATTTTTCTTTTTCTAAGAAAAATATGAATATTTTTCTTAAATCTGAATATGAATGTTAAGCAGATGTAGGGCATCAAACTATTCTTGAGCGAGCAAAAAAAATCTATTGGATTTAAGGAGCAATGTCTTTGGTTCATCATTGCTGGATTTGCTCCATCACGTTTACAAACACTGTCTTAGCACATTTGTTCTAGAAGACTTTCACTACAGGAAGAGTGAACATCTTCCACACCCTTTTGGGGGGAAAAAAAAAAATATATACTAAACACAGAAATAATCTAAAATATTTCACCCTTTCTATGCAGTAACATATAAAATTCATCTGAAATTGAGTAGGAATAAGAAACAGTCTCCAAAGGACAGTCTGTGCTCTCTGGAGTCTGAGTTCAGAATTACGTCTAGAACAGGACATCACCAAATATAAAAAGGCCAGAATTCCTTCAGCACCAAGTGAGAAACTGTGTGCATCCAAGCTGGCTTTCTAGCAGTGTGTATATATAAACACATGTATGTGTATTAAAGCTGTGCATAAGCAGTTAATGAAGAGGAGCTTAATACTTTTAGAGACGCTAGTGTCTTTTCAAACAGGATTTTATAATATGCTATGAAATGGATTTTTTTAAAGATCAATTTTATGCATTAAAAAATGAACCACTCCCTTTCCCCCTAGGCAAGAGCAGCAGTACTAAACCCATTTGTGCACAGCATTTTTGAAGCATGATGCTCAAGAAATAACATTTCTGATAAGACCAGTGTTAACAAGAATGAAAGAATGACTTTTAGATGTCTTAAGAACAGATGTTTCCCTGACCCTCCATTCAACTGCACCCTATTTAACTCAGTGCATTTGTCCAGTTTGTCAAAATCCTTTTGAAGTCTAATTCAGTTCTCCACAGCATCTGCAGTCCTTCTCAGCGTCATATCCGCACACATTTCTACTACATAGCATTGTTTACATTAATCTAGAAGATAAACTATTAGAAAACATGAAAATGTTTCAAAACATCAACACATTAACAGTCCAGTGGAGGAGACAGAAGCTGCAAATACTATCAGAAAAAGAATCACTGCTTCACCCTGAATTCAGTATTTCATACTTCCCTGCAATGAAGGCCAAGCCACAACATATTCAAAATCCGAAATAACAGAATTATTTGCATCAATTTTGCAGAATCTTTAAATGGAGCTTTTAATTGCTTAGATAAAATAAAATAAGGAAATTTAAGAGCTCTACTCTTAATTTAAAAAAAAATGAAAGTGATGAAGAAGCAAGTCAGTTAACACTAAGTCTATAAATGAAAGACTCAATAGACCTACGTAAAAAACTCCAAAGAACAAAAATCACGCAAACAGTGGGGCCCAATTACAAAATCAATACAGTTTTATTCAGTGTTTCCTGTTATTCATTGATGAAAATACTCAAAAGAAAAACTTTATTGATCGGTAATAAGGTTAGCATGTCTAACACCGAAATTGAGATCACTTTGTAATTCTCTCTTTCTTTAGCTTCTCAAATATTATTTTCCAGGTCTCAGAGGAAACATGACATCTCCTAAAACACAAATACCTTAGAAGTGAAAACTCCCAGTCCTGATATCAAAAGCGTATTACCTCATTGCATTTACTTATTCGCCTCGCCACAATAAGCTGAATCATTCCCCGTTTGTTTCCTTCAGTGGACATGGACCTCCTTAAAGTTTCCATAGCATCTTGATTTGTTTTGCCCAACAGTGATTCTCCATTTACTGCTATTAGTTGATCGTTCACTCGAAGCCTGCCATCCTGGAAAATGAAAGATTATAGCTGGTTACATAAAACATGCACAAAAGAATCTTCATCTGCTGGAGAGAGGAAAAAAACAAAATAAAAATAATCAAACAACTATGCTTAGTCCTCATAGTTTATGGCCAAATGAACGCTGGTATAATAGCTTCCATTGCAGCCATGTAGGAAATGTCTATTCCAATTATAGATTTGCACTGCAAGCTATTACCATAACCTGTTTGCACAAATAGCGTACTAATTGAACTGTACCAGATTGCTTGTATCCTTCCCGAGAATCTGTAAAGGCTGCTGAAATCCTGGGATGCGCAAACACGTGAATCTCAGCAGAAATCTAAATGTTACCTCTGATGGTGTAATTGCAAAAAGCTAGTTACAGAGCAATCTCATTCTTCTTGAATCCGTGGTTATTTTCAAAACAGCCTTATTATGGAAAACCGAGGAAGACAAAGGTACTCAGATGTTCCCTCTCACCTTGGATGCTGCTCCACCGTTAATAATGGACTTGACGAAGATTCCTAAATCGGCATGGTTTTCTTTTGACCGGTTACCTTTGACGCTCACACCAAGTCCAGCTGATCCAGAGTCATTCAGTGGAACTTCAAATGTCAGGAATTCCCTGGTGCCATCAGGTGTGAGGACAAGCTCCTCTTCTTCTGCTTTCTGTCGGGAAGATTAACATGGGATTACAGAAGAGCATTTCTCTTTGGGAATTCTCTTCCCTCAGCTATTAGCATTAAAAAACCTGCTTTTAACTACAATGCCACAATATTTTCCACAGTAATTATTTGAAGAAACATGCACAAACAGTGTATTTTCAATCACCTCCAGCTGAAGCCTAGATTCAGAAATATCTTATGTTTGTGTCTAAGTGCTTCTCTGTCTAGTAAAATAATCGAATCATGTGTCATTACTGAATGTGCCATTAATACCAACTCACACGTAAGCTGCTATTTTATTAGCCAAAAGAGAGCTGCATCAGAAATATTTTCTTATTTGCAAACCTACAGAATTTAAAAAATATCATCATCATCTATGGTAGCGCTGCAGTCATGGGGAGAAACTAAGTGCAAGAAAATTAAATTCAAAAATTACTCATTCACCTCATTTCGTTTAAAACTAGCTGTGTTAGGAAAAACAGAAAATTACACAGCTGCGATCTGCAACAGCACATCTCTCTGCTATTGCCAGGCTTAGCATCAAATCCAGCTCTGAATGCCAAGTTTCCTGTCTTTCCCGGCTCTGCCCTTCACCTCTGTCCTCTTACCCACATCTTTGGTTCTTTGCTGCCCTCCACACCCAGTTTTAGCCTGGCTGGGACAATTCCAGGGTTTGAACGCCAGGAATTCCAGTCCCAGACCTGCCCGTGTCCCTGGCAAGGTGCTGCTCAGTGACACCCTTCCATGCATTCGGAAGCCATGTATGTGCAGGAGGCCGGCCTCTCGCTCCGCCTCCTGCCAAGCTCAGGGTGACGGCGGGCTGGGAGCGGGGGGCCCTGGGGTGTCCCCAGAGAGCGCTGGCACTCGTGGGGGCAGTAGGCATGGGCACAGCACCCCAGAAAGAAAATGGTCAGGCCCTGAGGAGCAGTGCTTGCACACAAGAGGCTGCTCCTGAAAGGAGGAACATGAGGGATGAGCTGCTCACCAGCCCTGTCCCTTGCAGCAGACATTGTCCACTTGTCTCCAACCATCCTTCAGCTATAGCAAAACGGTTTAAACCACTTTTAGTTATAACTTTATCAATTAAAAAAACATGTCATGCCCTTAAAGGCAATTCTCCGCAGTGGGCCCAGTGTCTGGCCTCCAGAAAGATGCTCATGAACCCAGCTGTGCTGTTTATTTCTCACGCACATGAAGGAGAAAGAGTAAGAGAACATCCACCAGAAGGTGCACAGTAATGTCCTAAGGTTGGCAGTTCTTCTCTGGAAGAATTAATCTGGCCAATTTTTTTCATAACCTTAGCAAATGCGTCACCTCTCTTACTGACACAGATTTTATACCGATTTTCCCCGTGTCACTCTCATCTATTTGCAAAGCTCGCTCCTCCTATTTTTCTTCTACTCCCAGTTACTTGCAGCAGGACAAAACACATAAGAAGTTAACGCGTGCCTGCTGAGCCGTCCCCATTTCTTAAGACCTGAGGAAAGGCAAAGCTGACAGGCTCTTCTGAAATGCAAACACAGGCTACGGCAAAGATGGATGTGAAAGGCTTGTGGAGTACAGCAGACTGAGATGATCAATTTGGGCACAAGCATGCTAGTTGTGTCACCATTGACCTAGAAATGCAATGCAAAAATGTCACATGGGAAGGCAGTCAGACTGCTGAGAGAACCAGAACAGCTGAGGGAACAAAAACGGGAGCTCTATCTTTTTCCACCTCGTTAAAAGCATGAACCTTAATGTGCTCACCAGCCCTTTCTCTTTAGCGTTAGATACTATTTGCTTGTCTTTAACCACCTTTTGTTTACAACAAAGCATAATGCTTCATAAATTAAAAAAAAAAAAATTAACACACCCTATCGAAGTGCCATAGCTAAGCCGGCTCCCTTATGAGTCCCATTATCCAAACACACCTCTTGGCCATGCAAATCAGCATGATATGTGCTAGCTGTCAGGCACGGAAAGGTGCACTATGCCCATGGAAAAAATACTGGATCTAAAAAATATTTCCCAAATTTTGGGAAAATGACAACCGTAATTTTCCTGTTTGGGTCACAAAAGCACTAGTTACAGCATACATTTGAGGTGCATCTTTTGTCAGGTGGCTGCAGAATAAAACAATCTGAGAGAGATGCATGTTGCCTTTTAGTTTCTGTAACACTGATCGCTTTCATATTCCTTAATAAATAGTAGGAATGAAAGCTTGCGAACCAAAAGGAAGATAAAGCCAAGGTAGGATGTATGGGTAATCCAAGGAAGCACGTAAACTTATTGGTTTTTATTTTACTACTGCTATCATAAATTTACAATCAATCTCCCCCTCTCCCAGTATTTTCTAATGTTCTAAAAAATATGCCAGAACTTCAGCCACAGCCATCTCCCTTCCAGGGCAGAGAACAAAACTGCTTCCCTGCACAGCCCGTCCCTACCGGGTGCACTTCTCTATGCCAAAGGGTCAGCTGGAGAGAGCATCTCAGTAAGCATCCCCGAGGACTTGGCTAATGGCCTCTGTGCTACTTCAGCGAGACCTAAGAGCTGCATTATCAGCTCACACTATTCTTAATGTGAGTCTTCTGCTTGCTTGGTTTCTACAGTCTTAAATAAGGAAAAGATCTAATGCTAATATTGGGCTACAGACACCTGAGTGTGGAGGTGATACTCAAGGCCTAAACCTGGAACAATCTTCTCCTTAGCAGCTGCACATGAGTGAGTAGATCATGCATGTGAAAAAATGAGAAAAAGCAGTCTCAGCACTGGAACAGAAGTAGTGAAGCCATGAGAAAATTGCTCAACTCATCCAAAGATAAAATTACCATTACTGGGCTAAGGCTAAATTGCTTTAGGGACTTCATTGGGTATCCACAGCTTTTTTCAACTGAGCCAGCTTGTTTCACCACCATACCTGTGTCCTCAATTTTAGGGACATGAGAAGCCTTTTGCCCTCTAGAATCTGTGTGGCATCTGTCAGTACCATATGCTTGAATATAGATTTTAAAAAAAGAAAGTGATAGAGAGAACAAACATTTCTTTCTGATAGCACACCCTTTTTCCTAACAATACTTAGGAGAAAACCGTGGCTTTCAAGAATAACTGAACTGATTCAAGGACTATGGATACAGAAGTACTGACTCTAACATTTGTGCCACACCATGGTACCAAAAAAGGTCTTACTATATATGATGTATTGAATACAACTCCATACATACAAACCTTGGAACAGAACTATATAGTGATCAGGAACCCCTAAACAATCATAAAGGAGCCATTCTCAGAGAAATAAGCAGGAAGATTTTAGCCTGGTACCATAATATTTTGAACCAAAGTTGTAAAAACAAAAACAAACAAAAAAAACAACAAAACCTCAGATTGGCTGAATCCTTTGTTCCCTAAAGCCCTTTAGAGTACAGAAACACTGCACGTAGTGCGACTCTCTCCAATGAATTAAATATCAGCTATTACAAAAAAGTAAAATTTGCACTGAAATTAAGTATCTAAATGTAACAAACCATAGAAATTCCCTAGTATAGCCATGAGACAGCATAAAAATGCACAAGAACCTAAAATGCAATTGAAATTGAAATTTAAAAATTTCAACTGAGAACACAATCACTTCCTAATTGCAATAACTTCCATTTGATCTTGATATACTCTAAATTAACAGCTTTGCTATGTCAATCAAACACCTCAACACTATTTTCATGATTAGTTGATCTGTGGGAGAAATTTATTCCTTCATATACTTTGACAGGCCAGCAGCAAACACGCAAGCAGAATTATGTACTGTGAACCCTGAGCAACAAAATTCAACTCCCTTAAGATTTTTCACACACTGTGTCCAAAACAATTAACAGCAGAACAATATTCCGTTCAGACAGAGTCTGCTGAGGAAAAGGTCATCTGAAATGACTTCAGCTGGATGAATGAAGCTGCTCAAGTATGTAATTTGTAATAAAAATTCGACTGGTGATAAAATATGTAGGTGACTTTTTTTTTTTGCTATAAATTCATACTTAGCATCAATTTATGCTAAACGACATTTGAAATCAGATTTTCACTTTTTAAATGCAACATAAATACATCGTAAATTTAAAGATAAACTTCCTGACTAGAGTCAACTTATGGCCATGCTTCGATACATACAGAGATTAAAAAAAGCCATCGGATAAACGGGGGGAGAAATTCTTTTTCTCTTCTACATAACATTGGTTTCTGATCTGATCATAAAACTGGATTTAATTTTATAAACAACATTAAAACAGACCTTGACACTAAAAGTGCAATAAGTCTATTTTATCATGTCAGTAACAACATCTCCTCCTTATCCTTTTATGTTTTAAATACTATGAAGAAATTTCTTGCTTGGAACTTCTTCCCTTAATAAAATCTCATCAGGGTTCAGCTGGTGAGTAAGGAGCATGAGATGAGTGAAAAAAAGAAACTTAACAGCAAAGAAAAACCTCCTCCCACCTAACAGGGGAAGCAATTTTCAATCAAGCTGGGACGAGTTCCCGAAGAGGCTCGCTGCAGCTACAAATCTGGCTGCATTCTCTCCAGCAAAGTTCATTTTCTTGCAAGCTTAGACATGCTGTCTTCTCAGCAGCTATTAAGTCACTGAAACCTGTCTGCAAGTTACTTTGTGATTATGTATAGATAAAAGAAATAAGCCAATCATGGGAGTCTCAGCAAAAATCCAGTGCACTCCTGTTTTCTTTCACCGAAGTAATTAATAAAGCTCTGTATCGCCACTCTTAGAGGGTAACCTGTATTTCCAAGTCATGTATATAACACACATGAAAACATTTACGGGGCTTTTGCATGCACACGCATATGCATGTACATACACAAACAAACCCATCTTATATGATGATGAAATTCACGTGATAAATTATGTAACTACAGCACAAACCCTACCTAACGCCTCCAATGACCCCATCTACACTAGTCACTTTACCTGCCCCCAAAATCCTGTTGTGTCCAGCCTTCTAATATCACAGCCCTAAGCTT